TGCCAACAAAAGGGTAGTGATCATTAATAGTTCTGCGCCTCTCTTAACGCGAACGTCCATTACTGAGCGTCTTAAGTCAGACGATACAATTATCAAATCGATCGTCGACTTCTGTGGACAACCTTCTCGGTACCAGGCATACTGATAGACTCTTCGATGCTCGATGAAGGAGTTCAAAATAGACAGTCCGTTTTTTACGCAAAACCGCAACAGCTTTATGCCTTTATTTTTTAGGTCACTAGGACCGTTCTTTCTATTCACGCCTTTCCACTTTTCATCATCTTCTGTGACATGCTCATTAAAATCAGCTATGAGTATGAGGGACTGCGTATTCGGCAGGGCATGCTCCACTTCCTCAATGAAGGAGCCATAATTTCTCTAGATTGGGCGCATACGCCTGTAACAGTGTCAACGCCTGAACCTCTTAAAGCTCATTCAAAAAATTGCCACTCCTCCGCTGACAGTCTTCCATTCAATGGTTCTATCAGTCGTATTGGGTTCTGGCAGAACACCAACACCTGCCTGAGTGCATTTCGTGATGTCAAAACCTGAGTAGAATGACTTCAACCCATAGAGGTTCAGAATTTTACAGCTTTGGCGCTTCGTTGATGTGGATCCAGTTTGTGCCTTGCGGCCTCATCAGCTAACTCCTGCTCTTTCCGTCTTAGTGAGGATATATTCCAATTTCCGACTCTCCAATTTCCAAGCCCCCACTGGCGGTGTCGTTCTGGTGGAGCCTTTCGTGACATGGCATCGCGCTGTCTGCCTCGTCCGTTTAGAACAGAAACGACTCCATTGCTGATTGGTGACTTCGTCGTCGTTTCTTGAATTTTCGTCAGCCGACGTTGAGCCGCTGCGCCCTCGGCTTTCGGAATTCGATGAGCAGATTCTGATCACCGATATTTTGCTCCTTGTCTCCGTCCCCAAGCAGCTTCCGCTACCCTTGATACCTCAGGCGACGATCCAGCCGGTATAATTTTCGATGACGTCAATTCATTGAAGGGCAGGTGGCTGAGGTTTACTCAGGTGGCAGGTGATTTCTCCACGGTCTCCAACCCTCCTCCTTTCTCATCCGTGCTCGGGTCCGACAGCGGCAGGGTTTCTCGCTGAAATCATGAGAATTTATTCAGAACCCTTATCATATGAGGTAGTAGTGAGGTTTTTAGGGCCCTAATACGAACGTTGGTAAATTCAGATCTGTACGCATAGCCACCTCCTTCGATTTGCAGCTAGCAGCCAGATCTTGGAGATGGCGAGGTGGATTCGCTAGGTTGTTGTTTGTGAATGTCTCAGTGCCAAAGCAACAAATGTCGTTTATCACCATCCAGGCGATCAATTGATATGTTGTGCCAGCCGCCTTGGCGTAAGTCCCTAAAATCATCAGCGGAAAGCTGTGTACGTCAGTGTAGGGTCAGTGCATGACCGTTAAAACTTCCCGCGAAGCCAGCTCGGTGCTCTCAGATGTCGCAGTTTATGAAATAATTTGATGAATGCCTTTATCACCTCACCTTTTCGACCTGTTTATATCGCTGATATTTAACTCAAAGCCACGGCTGATAGCTGGCTAAGGCTGTGAGCAAACTTCTTTTATTTTGTGTTTAAAGTATGGCTGTTTCCGGTTGTAGCGTTTCATTCATATGTTAAAGTGGTGATAGACTTAACAGTATTTTATCAGTTGCTTAGTTTTCTCGCATTCAGGCTTTATAACTTTAAGATTGCCAAATTTCCGCACTTTCTGTTTATTTTATGCTATTTTCTGTTGAATCGGCGTTCCTCTACCATTTTTTCTTCCCTTCGTCAAAGCTATTTGTCGAGAGTTTCTGGCTCTAGCCCTGTTTTTCTTTCTTGCTATTGTCTAAGGCACTTCATACGATACTCCGTATTTGAATGCAAGGCTGAGGCCATCTTTGGCAGAAATTTTCATCATAGTAGTTAGGTAAAGTGTGAAAGGTAGACTGGAATAGATTAACTTCCGCGTCGGTAAACAGGAAAATTAGCCTACTTTAATTAATATATCAGTAAATTTTTCATCCTTCAATCAAACAGTGCTTTTGTTATGGTGCTAATTAGAATGATGACGTCATCATTTCTGGATATGTGTCTTCCATGTTTTTCTTGTTAACTTTTTTTCAAAAGCTGTTTTTAGTCACCCGCGGCTCCAACAGCACCACCGCTTCAACCGATGCCACCTGCACCTACTTTTTCCTCGTCGATTCCAACGATGCCAGAGTACAACAGAACACTTGCATTTGAAAATCAGCACAAGTATCAGACCACGGATGGTGCTTTCCCGCCCTATGCAAATATGCCGTGTGTATGTCTTGGTCAGGAAGTATATGTGCAAAAATTACTGTTGTTTTGTAGCCTGTTACTCCCGTAGGTGACGGGTCACAACCTGCAGCGACGGTATTGTTGGCACCGCCTCCGCATATTGGAGCTCGTGAGCAGATGCCGTTGAATCCCACTCTTTCTAGAC